ACTGATCTGTGGGCCACCTTTCCGGCTACACTGTGACTGGTGCGGGTCTCTGCTGTTGTCTACACACACTTCAGTCAATTCATGCCTGCACATGTCGGGCTGAGGAGGAAGCAGGCAGTGCAAACCCAAGATGCACTCTTTCTCGTGAGCTCATTGCCCCATCTGCGGGGTCTCTCTTAGCTTTAGACTGCCCACGGCCAGGACATCCCCATTAACCAAGAGCATTCTCTGTGAATACTGACTCAGGGTGGACAATCTGACTGAAATCCTAAAGAAGCCACAGAGGGTCATGGAAGCCAACTTCAAGGTTGGGATGGGTTGCAGAATAAGTTTAGCTGCTCCTCGAACAACTCTCTGAAGGGCTGAGGGGCTTTCAAATGCCCGTAAGTAGACATCTTATTCCCAGAATTAGTGCTCACAGCTGCTGGGGACCGTAGGGCTTGCACTTGATGTCACTTCCAAAAGACGAGCTGGCCAGGCCTGGGTAGAGGAGCCACAGCTAAGGCATGTGGACAGCACTGATGATGGCTACTGGAGATGAGTGAGGAGTGGTTGGTCTCACATGGACACACCCCCTCATGAGGATGAAGAGGCTTCAAACACAGGCTGCAAGGCCCAATGCCCGGGCACCACTCAGCTAAACACAGACTGCTTGCTTTCCCCAGGACCTCCAGACAATCAGGTTCTCTGAGCTTCTCTCTGGACCCACTGGCCTCCCTGTGCTGTCCAGCTTCCCCCAAAGCCTCTGCCATCCTCCTGAGTCTTCCAAACAGTACCGCACTGCGGAGTGGACAGCAAAGGTTAGCATGGTTGGTACATCACCTGGTTATAGCTTGATCAGGCAACATCTTTCAGGAGGTCTCGTCCCTCCCTAGTGTGGCTTTGTCCCCTCCCTCCTGAGCTCTAGGAGAAGCACCCACTCCACAGTAGAAGACACCACCATGGCCCTACATTATCAGCACCAGAGGACCACCATACACCTTCCAGGGAAAGGGACCAAAGACAACTTGCCTCTGCAGTATTCCTATAGAAACACAAAACCCAACTCTCATCCCGTGGAAGCACCAGGTAAAAGAAATGCAGGGAATCTAGAAGCTCAAATTGTCTTGGGCCCTCTACAAGTGTCGCCTCTCCAAAGACAGAGGCACTAACAGAGCCGACGTGCACCTTAGTATCTTAATTCAACGCGTGCATCTACACTGGGGCTTGGATGGGTGTCTGCCCCCTGTCTGTCATTTTGGGACAGATGAGAAGTTAAAGTCTACAGTCCCAAGACAGCATGGGGTCACTATCCATCAGTGGTCATGACTGTTGCATGTGGCCAAGATGTCCTTACTCTCAGGAAGCACACACTGCAGTATTAATAGGGAGGGGTCTTGTGAGAGTTCCTCACCCACACTGGCATGCCAAGCAGGGTTGTCCTTGCTCAGGTCTTGTTTAGGTGGCCATATTGAGATCTCACAGGGCAGCTTCCCTGTCCTATAGAGAAGACACACCCTTGCAGCACATGCCCTGTTCCACTGGTTTGCACCCCTCCTTCTCTGCTTACAGGGGTTCAGCCTCCACCGCTCCACCTCACACTGCCCCACTGTTCTTAAATGTACTCATCATACAACAGCTACACAATGGGATCTCTAGTCCCCTAGCCGGTAACTTGGGAAGATGTCCTGCCGGGCTTTGTAAGGTTGGTAGCAATAAAAGCTAACTAACACTAGAGAGAAGATAACCGCCCCGATGCAGACACTAAATTGTAGACGCTTTGGTGCATCCTCTCAAGTAGGCAAGGGATGGGCAGCAGCTCAGCAACGGTTCAACTGAAGTCATTATTCTCCCACTTCCTGCCTGGCTTCCTGTCCCCAGTGTTCAACAATGGACCATGGCTGTGATAACAGACAATGGCCTGCTCTTCTAACCAGCCAGACTGGTGGCTGCGGCTTTTGAGGTCACTGTGTCAATGTCCTGAGTTTGAGTTTGACATTTTGAACTGGCTGCTGTCACCGACCATTTGGAGAAGATCTGCCTTCACTGTAGAGGAATTAAGGTCTAGCCTAGAACCTATATCCCTCCTCCAACAGCCAACTAAGAAAGCTCTAAAGCCCTTTATGAGCGACTGCACTTCAGCATGGGGTAAGATATGCTAAGGGTTGGCAAGATGGTTCAGCTAGCAAGAGTACTTGTCACAGAAGCGTCACAGTCCGAGTTAGACCCCAGCCACCCACATAAAAATGCTGGAAGTGATGGAATGTGCACCTGTGACCCCAGGACTGGAGAGACGGGAGGCAAAAGAAGAATTGTCCAGAAGCTTGCAGGCCTGCTAGTTTGAAGCAGAGAACTAACTCCCAAAAGTTGTTCTCTGTTCTCTGACCTCTATACAAGCACAGTGGCCCACAAGGTGTGTTACACACACACACACATACACACACACACACACACACACACACACCAAAAAAAAAAAGATACATAAAATAAAGTATAAAATCTTGCAAAATAGTACATGATGTTTATTTACAGTGACTGTGTTAAAAGGATGGGAAATAACAATGTCACATCTCATTAAAAAAAAAAAACCAGACCATCACAAAATGCGTACTTAAACATGAAACTATAAAATAACATTGGCAGGGAAGCGGGAGGCAGACCACACACAGCCCTGGTCTCATTCTCTATCAGGCCAGCTGTGTGAGTGAAGAATCTGGGACAGTCCATATCTCACCAGCACAGAACTTGAACCATTCATCACCGGGATGCCCTCCCTGAGGGGCCAGCCACAGCATGTGTCTGCAATCACCTCACTTTGACCATCCTTAACCACTCACAGTCCCCAGGGAGCTGCATCGAGCAGGCTCACCTGGGAGGGCCTCCTAGTCCTCTGTCCATACCTTATGGTTTGAAGTGAAACTTGTACAAACTATCCATCAGACGCCTGGTTCTGCAGACAAAGGCTTTGATGCAACCCAAGAGTGGGGTGTTGTGCCAGCTCATCTCAGTGTACAAGTCCCAGCAGTACAAGGACCTGCCCACAGCCGCGTCTCTCCTGAGGCATCCCCACCCACCAGATCCAGCCCCAAGGGCATGCATCTACGATGTTCCAATACAGAGGCAGCATCATAGCCAGCTCCTATCTAGACTTAGATGTCTCTATGTTCATCAGAAATGGCATGTGTGGTGGTTTGAAAGAAAATGGCCCTCAAACGGAGTGGCACTATTACGAGGTGTGGCCTCGTTGGAGGAAGTGTGTCACTGTTGGGGGTGGGCTTTGAGGTCTCTTTTGTTCAAGTTTCCCTCAGTGTGACCGTCATTTGACTTTCTGTTGCCTCTAAGTCAAGATGTAGGACTCTCAGCTCCAACACCACATCTGCCTGCATGCCGCCATGCTTCCTGCCATGATGATAATGGACTGAACCTCTGAAACTGTAAGTGAGCCCCCTCCATTAAATGTTTTCATTTATAAGAGTTGCCATGGTCATAGTCTCTCTTCACAGCAATAAAAACCAAACTAAGACAGTATGTCTTCCTGGACTCTGGACTCAACTGCAGTCCAAAACTAAAATGTAGTCCCCTCTTTCTTGAACAGCCTCATGTTCCCTACCCTGCCCTCAACAGAAGGACCAGGCTCCTGAACACACCATAGCCTCACACAGTCAACAAGTTCAGTCACCACAGAAACCTCTTTAGAGAATCCAACGCAGAGGGATTAGTGGATATAACTGTAACGGTAAATTATGAAATCAACCAATCTTCCCGAAAGAGTGCCATTTTGGATCTAGACTAAGAAGGAATTTACATTCTGTGAAGTGATCCACGTCAGGGGGCGGATGTCAAGCTTGTGCCAGCTAAACACAATATCTCAAAAAATTCCTCAGTCCATTCATCAACATGACAGTTCTCATTTAACGACAGAAGCATGACCATAGCGCGCGCACACACACACACACACACACACACACACACACACACACACACACACACACACATCCTCCAACACATCCCACGGAAAAGCAGGAAGGGGGCCAGAAATTATTTTCAAGGTCCAGGGCTCCCTCACAGATTTGCTACTCAGAAGGAAAAAAGACCCCTCAGTGGGGGTGGGAGGGTTAGGGTGGTGGTAGTTAGTGGTGGTGTCCCCGTGTGCCTGAGGAAGGTCTGAGCAGCTCTGTAGGCAGAAAAGAAGACCCCAAGCAATCCATGGGGAAACATTCACTTACTTTGGACCAACTGGCTACACAGGAGATATCTATGTAAAGACAGAAACATCTCAGGGTCCTAGGCCTGGCACCTCTCCAGACAGAAGAGAGGTTTCACTTGAATGAATGAGAAGGAGCCAAAGTTACCTCAGGACACTTTGTTAAGTAACTGGTCACCCCACTCACAGTCATCCTGCACCTCAGAAGCAAAGCCTATACCCTCAAAAGTGGATTCCATGGGAAGTGGGGTACCAAACGGACAAACATCCTCATTTCATCAAGAAAGCATCAAAACTGTTTTTAAACATACTGCTGCTAGAAGATGAACTAAGTGGATTATTATTATTATTATTATTAAAATCAAGAACATACCCGAGAAATCTAGGAAGCAGCTAGCTATCCTTATTTAACCTTGACTAGGTTCACATCATAAGCTATTGATTCCTGGCCTCCTAACACATTTCAATACCAAACTGTGAAATGTCCTCAGCACCCCTTGCTGGGAGTCCTGGCTGAGGGACAGTGTAGAATTTAACAACTCTACCTACATGGAGAAGCACCGTGCATGAACTGAAAACTATGTGTTCCATACTTACGTGGGACTATTTCAAAATGTATATAGATGACCTTTTAAAAGAATTTTAAGCACGAACATGCTGAGGTCTCTCATATATAAAATACCTCTTGCAGCTTCTCACTGTATGTCAATTAAAGGCAAGCACTCAGAGGCAGCAGGAGCAGAAGTGAGGAGAGACATGACGCAGGCTGCAGTTCATCAGCCTCCCTTTATGGGGGTGGGTGGGAAGGGGTCCTTACCCTCCTCGTGTAGGATTCATTGAACTCGTCTCCAATCCGCCGAAGCTCCTGTGCAATCCGTATCTCAGGGCGAACGTCTGCAGGTTCCTCCTGAGACTGCCTTATGGAAGCTGTGTGGGCACAAAGAAAGCAGAAATCACGCCAGGGGCCACAGCACTGAGAACCGTGTACACGACTTTCCAGGAACAAACCCATCTCTCTCACTCTCGCCCGTTTGGAAGCTCTCCGGTTTCAGCGACTCTCAATCTGGCGTTAAGAACCGTGAAGGAAGTATCATTTTAGCCAATGCCCTAGTTAGGCCTCTGTTGCTGCTGAGAAAAGGGTTTGTTTGGCTCATGCAGCTGATCACAGTCCACCGACTGTGAGAAGTCAGGGCAGACACTCAAGGAGCAGAGGCAAACGCAGTAAGTAGCAACCTTGCTCCTTGGCTTGCTTGCCAGGGCCTGCTAAGCCTGCCTTCTCATACGACCCAGGACCACCTGCCCAGGCTGGCCCTGCCTGCAGTGGGCTAGACCTTCCCACATCAATCGTTTATCAAGAAACTACCCACAGATTTACCTACAGGCGACCCGACGGGGGTAATGCCTCACTCAACTAAGATTCTCTCTTCCCGGGAGACTCTAGCTTGTGTCGTGTCAAGTTGACCAACAGAACAAAACCAAACCAGGAGAGATATGTGACATAGAATAACTCCACAGAATTAGAAGAATCAAAAGTATCCTGGCCCAGCCATCCTCTTTCAAAAAGAATCCTAAACAGCACAATGAGGATCACCAAAGAGACACTATAGGGACCGACGACATGGCTTCGTCGCCAAGGCACTGGCTGCCAAGCCTGACAACATTGAGTTCGATCCCCGGAATCTACACGGTGAAGGCGGAGAACTGACTCCACAAACTGCCTCTGCCTTACACACATGCACACAAAATAAAGGTGATCATGATTTGAAAAAGAAATCAGTACCCGGGTGGCGATGGTGCACGCCTTTAATCTCAGCATTTGGGAGGCAGAGGCAAGTGGGCCTCTTGAGTTGGAGGCCAGCCTGATCTACAGAGCAAGTTCCAGGACAGCCAGGGCTACACAGAGAAACCCTGTCTCAAAAGGCAAATAAACAACAAAAAAAAAAAAGAAAGAAAGAAAAGAAAAAGAAAGAAAGAAAGAAAAAAAGTAAAGGAAGAAAGAAAGAGAAATCAGTGACAAAGCCTAGCATTCATGGGGTCCCAAAGTCCACCCTTAGAACTACACTAGCAAAGAAAAAAATACATAAAACACTAGAGAGCACAAAACTTTAGTTTCTCAGTAAAACACTCACTTTGGGCTTAGAACAAGGTACAAGTTGCTGGGAAAAATTCAAACCTGACGAAATGGGGAGAGCTGAGCTGCTTGGCAGGTGGGTTCCCACAAAAGCAGGGTCAGTGATATCCAGAGCTGGTCCAAATGGGAGCGTAAGTGCATGTTTTCACTATTAACTCAGTCAACAAAGACAGATTCAAGTCTGCTACACCACACGAGGGGAGGAAACGCTTTGGGTCTGCGAGTAAAGGTACTTGAGAAGAGAGAAAAAGATTGGATCATGGCACCATGTGGGCGAGTTTGAAGCCAGCCTGACCTACACATGTACATCTGTGGGTTCTGGGTCAGCCTGAGCTAGCTATATAGTGAGATCCTGTCTCAAGAAAAAAATCATGTTAGGGAATTAATACTGTAACAACACAAGAATACACGTTGTTCAGAGTTAGTAACAGTCCAGGAAGAGACTCCTGGACTCCTTTATATTTTAAAAACAAGCACAAGGAACTCCCAACTAAATTTCCCACTCAGTAAAGCAGTAAAAACCTGAGGTTCTTGGATTTCATAAAAACATTAATTTTTTTTAATTTTGTAAGAGGTCCATAAATTGCAGATTCATAACTCTACAAAAGCATATGAAAGCGAACACTTCACGACTTGGATAATTCTTTTCGAATTCTTGTCACATCTTCCCTAACCAAGGAAAGTCAACAGTGGTTCAGCAGAGTGAAGGTTTGACTCTGCACGCAACCCCAGCACCACAGAATCTGAGACAGGAGGAGAGTGCTTGGCTACATAGTGATGCTTTATCTCCATGGGGGCGGGGTGGGGTGGGGTGGGGGAGATCAAGAGCTTAAAAGAGAAGCAGGTATTCCATAAGGCCTCAGCAAGGGGGAGCTCTGTGCCCCACCAAGCTACCTACACTCTGAGTATCAGAGGGGATGTCACTACAGGAAATGTTAGTAGAGACAGGAAGTCTTATGGAGGAGTCAAATTTTTAGGCTAAGTCAGATATGGGCCCTGAACACACATCCAGTCACACACACACAAAAAATTTACACTGTCCATATCTTTTTAGCATAAATATTTCTAATATTAATGTTACTATTAAGTCTACTAAAACTAAAGTTTAAATAATTGGCAAAAAAGACAAAAAAAATTCAAGGGTAGACACCATGCCAGGCGATGATATCAGTTCCCGGTCTCTTCCTGGGTTCTTGGCTTTGTAAGGGTTTGGTACCACAGGAGCCAAATCATTATCTTTGTTTGTTTGAGACAGTCTCGCCATGTAGCCCGGGCCTCTCTCAACCCTCCTGTATCACCTTCCTAAGTGCTGGGATGACAAGCACGTACTGTCACCCTGGTCATGACCAGAGTTTTTATACTATGTGCTGCCAAGCCCTCTCCGACTTAGGGGCCCCTTCTGCTGAGTGTCCCCCGTCCCCCGGGGAGGCACACCTATTACCTACACAGCTGAGCAGGTCAGCGAGGTAGGCCACCGTGCCACCATGACAGGTCCCATCACCCACCTCCCTGGCTTCATAATTCCACTGTTTCCCCCAAACACACGGAAGAGAGATATCTAGCTTCAACTCTGGGGTTGGAAATAAAACCCAATTACTGAAAGACAGTGGGGGGAAAAACAGATCATATGCTTGATTTATAAAGTTGGTGGGGTGATCAAGCTTGCCGGTCAACTTATCCAATGATCAATATGGGGTAAGATTCACTTATTTACTCAAGGAATGATCTCGAGCCATGTCGTTCTAGGAGGCCAAGCTGAGGTCTCATAGATCCGAAGTTCTTGTTGACTAACAATGAATTTCCTTTCTCTTCTCTCCTCTCTCTGTCTCATGTAGCTCAGGCTGACACTGAACTCTTGAACTTTTGCCTCCTTTTCCCAAGTGCTGGGACTACAGGTGTGTGTCACCATTTGTTTGGACTTCGATACTTACAATGTGGTTCACACTTTTGTCTTGGTCTGTTTAAAACCTTCACAGAAAATTGCTGTAGCTCTCAGCAACCCCTTCTGAACTCAAGGAAGCGTGCCTTCTTTGAGCCACCCGTTTGGGATGGTTTGACTGGACCCTCTCATGAAGCAGCGTAACCTTTCCCATGCATCTCATGTCTGGAGCCATGTTGTTCTTTACGTACAGAGAGAATTACGCTTTAATAAGCATCACCATCTTCTTCCACTGGAACACAAAACAACGGCCAACTCTGACTAATGCCTCCACACTGTAAAAGAAGCCTTCCGGCATTCTAGCTGATCCTTCTCTCACGTGTAGGCTTCCGAAGGTGGTCTGTTTCATGTTTGGCTGGGAACTTAAAAACCACTGAAGGAGCTAGCCTGGGCCACAAGTTGACTTATCAAAGCTCACACCTAGCAAGCACACCCACACGGCTAGCAGCCATGGATCTCTGGTGGCCAAACTCAACTTGTTCAGAGATAAACGCCCTGTTGTTGGAGGAGATAAGCAGACAGCCTGTTTCTCCCATAAAGAACAGCTCAATGGCTGTTAGTACAAACAGGTGCATAGATACAAACAGATCCCCACAGCCCAGCAAGGAGGGTCAGGGTGGGAGGGAAGAGGAACCTAAGGTCCACAGACCTTAGAACTCTGAAAACACACCGAACAAAGACCAGAAACAGTGGCTAAACCCAGGGCCCTGATCTGTGATTTCTGAGAGCACTTAGGAGTCAAGAGGGTGTATTAACCCAAGATACTGGTTAGACTAAGCTTAGTCTACACTGTAATTGGCAGGCAATAGCTCTGGGTTAGTAAGTAGGCTACCAGCCATACTTAGGTGTAATTTTCAAAGGCTATTACAAAACAGTATTGTACAGTATAAACACCACTCACAGAGGCTAGTGTGTCTTAGACATGCTAACATACCACCCAGCCTTGCTTCTTTTTTTTTTGTCTCACTATGTAGCCCTGGCTGAGCTGGGAACTGACTATATAGACCAGGCCGGCCTCAAACTCAGGTCCTGCCCCTGCCTCCCGAGTGCTAAGATTAAAGGCATGCACCAATCATGCCTGGCTGTTTTTTTGTTTTTTTGTTTTTTTTTTTAATGATCAAGAATGTTTATTTCTTTTTGCCTGTGATGCTAGAGATCCCAAGGCCTCCAATGTGATGGGCAAGTTGTTCTACCACTGAGCCACAGCGTTCAGGATAGTTGTGCTTTAAAATCTTTTTTAGTTTTATTTTATGTGTGTAGCTGTTTGGCCTGCATGTATTTATGTGCATGAATGGTGTCTGCAGAGGTCAGATAAAAGTGTCAGTCCCCTCAGAACTAGGGTTACAGACAGCTGTCAATTGCCATGAGGGTGCTGGGAATTGAACTTGGGTCCTCTGCAAGAGCAGTCAGTGCTCTTTTCCTCTGAGCTATCTCTTTTTTTTTTTTTTTTTTTTTTTGAGAAACAAATAGTATTCTTCTGATCTAAACTGAAAATTAACGGCTAGTATCCACTCCATAAGGCACAGGTAATATGCACACTGTAGATATGCACTAAGCCAGACACTGCAGTTAGTTGTACACTTAAAAAAAAAGGCCTTTGTGTGTCTATGCGTATGAGTACATGTGTTTATGCTGGTGTGTGTACAGCCCAGAAGAGTGAGGTAGTGGCATTCTCTCTCTCCTCTTCCCACTGCTTTTTGAGTCAGGGTCTCTCTCTGAACCCAGCTCACATTTTCCTCCATTAGGCTGGAAGCCAGAAGACCCCAGCAATCCTGCCTCTGTCTGTACTCTGACCCGGGGTCACAGGCATGTGTGCAGATGTCTGGACTGTCACTTGGGTGCTGGGATCTGAACTCT